AGTGATACAGAGCATAGCTCACTGGTAGCCTTAAACTGTCCGGGGCTTCCAAATAAATCCGTCCCTGCCTTAGTCCCTCCTAGTAGCTTAGAACCACCAGGTATATGGCCAACACCACCTGGCCCTAATTTTTTAAGTATTTTTTGCTAGAGCCAAGATCACTCCTGTTGCCCAGACCTGGTCCTGAACTCCTGCAGCCTCAGAGAAAACTCCCTGCCTTGTGCCCCCCTAAAGTGCGGACCTAAGATGTGATGCAGTCATACCTGGCCCAATTTTCCAGAAATCTGTATGAATTATTCGGCCAAACCTGCAGAAAAGAAGTTGATGGTTTTGTTTGCCTGGCAGTTGGTGAACGAATCATTCTATCACCACCCACCCCACTTAGCCTTTTCTTTCCCAGCCCGATCCCGCTATCCTTGCCTGGTTTCCCCAAACTTATATATAATATATATATATATATTATTTTTTTTTTTTTTTGAGACGGAGTCTCGCTCTGCGCTGTGCCGCCAGGCTGGAGTGCAGTTGGCCGGATCTTCAGCTCACTGCAAGCTCCGCCTCCGGGTTCCACGCCATTCTCCTGCCTCACCTCCTGAGTAGCTGGGACTACAGGCGCACGCCCCCCCCGCGCCCGGCTAGTTTTTTTTTTTTTTTGTATTTTAGTAGAGACGGGGTTTCACCGTGTTAGCCAGGATGGTCTCTGACTCCCTGACCTCGTGATCCGCCCTTCTCGCGCCTCCCAAGTGCTGGGTTACAGGCTTGAGCCACCGCGCCCGGCTCCACCAAACTTATATTTGAGAATTATTTCGTGGTTCCACGTTCTCCTTTTCTCTTCCTATATCCACATGATATGTAATGATCTCACTTATAACATTGATGCTCAGAAATCTATAGATCGCATTCTGTCTTCAGGGAAATACATGTTGCTCAAGGAAGCTGTTATTCTGTCTTCAGGGAAATACATGTTGCCAAGGAAAGCTGTAAGAAAGAACACCATATTCTCAGGACTTGGGTTTCAATATTTAGTAAGATCTAGGCAGCAGCTATGACTAGAAATTCTTACTGGAAGGAGTTTTGTATCATTGAAGGGTGGAATGTAAATTATTTCCTTCCACTTGAGAAATTTTAGGCATCGGTTTTCTGCCATCTCAGCACAGCTGCCCTTGAGTGGTTTTCCTCTCTCCTTCTACTCCTGTTCTCTAACATTTTCCCGAGCTCTGACTACATGCCAGGCACTGTTACAGGCGCTTTCCATGCCTTAGTTTATTCCATCCTCATAATAATCCTATCAGGTAGGTGCTATTATTATTCCCATTTTACCAATGAGAAGACTGAGGCATAGAAAGTTTGAGTAATTTGTCTTTCTTAGACAAACGACTCAAATTGTCCTTCTATTTTCTTAGTAGAAGGGTTGGGATTCAAAACTAGTCATTTGGCCGGGCGCGGTGGCTCATGTCTGTAATCCCAGCACTTCAGGATGCCAAGGTGGGTGGATCACGAGGTCAGGAGATCGAGACCATCCTGGCCAACATGAGAAAACCCCGTCTCTACTAAAAATACAAAAATTAGCTGGGCGTGGTGGTGCACACCTGTAGCCCCAGCTGCTCAGGAGGCTGAGGCAGGAGAATCACTTGAACCTGGGAGACAGAGGTTGCAGTTAGCTGAGATCACGCCATTGCACTCCAACCTGGCGACAGAGCGAGACTCCGTCTCAAAACAACAACAACAAAAACCTAGTCATTTGGGGTGCAGAGCCCAGACGGTTTTTTGTTTTGTTTTTTTGAGACAGGGTCTCACTCTGTCACCCAGGCTGAAGTGCAATGGCATGATCACGGTTCACTGCAGCCTCAGCATCCAGGGCTCAAGAGATCCTCCTACCTCACCCTCCCGAGTTGTTGGGACTACAAGTGCATGCCATCATGCCCCATTATTTTTAATTTATTTTGAGGGGCATTTTTTGTAGAGATGGGGGTTTTGCCATGTTGCCCAGACTGGTCTCGAACTCCTGGGCTCAAGTAATTGCCTCGGCCTCCTAAAGTGTTGAGATTACAGGTGAGCCTCTGTACTCAGCCGGGTCTCTCAATCCCTATTCCACACTGACTCAAGTCTTACCATTCTCCCCTGTTCCTACCTAGAGTTTGTTCATTCTCATCTTCCCTGCTGCCTTCACCCTTGCTCATCTCATTGTCCTTCCAGTTACTCCCTCTCTGATTCATTTATTCAAGGCCACATCCGCCTTTCTTCTTTCAGCACAGGTTTAAAGTTTATGCCTCTTTACAAGGCAGCTTTCCTAACAAACCTCTCTCCATCTGATGATGTATTGCCTCCATGTCACTTTGTGTTGTTATCAAGCTTGCTTACACATTGCCTTGAACACCACCACACTTCTTATTTAGCGGCCACATGTGTATATGGCTGCCCAGCCACCTTGGAGCATAGCTGAAAGCCCGGAAGAAAAGGGAAAAGAAATTCTAGCTCCCAAATAGGTGTCAGTATTCATGCACTAAACATCTTTTATTGTACACATAAGCTATACTGCCTTTTGAGCTTACAGGACAAATCATTTAGAACAGGAATTGGCAAACTATGGCCCACCACCTCTTTCTTGTAAATAAAGTTTTATTGGAACACAGTCACATCCATTTATTTACATACTGTCTATGGCTACTTTTGTGCACCAACAGTAGAGTTAAATTGTGTGGAAGAGACCGGGCGCAGTGGCTCATGCCTGTAATCCCAGCACTTTGGGAGGTCAAGGTAGGCGTATCACGAGGTCGGGAGATCGAGACCATCCTGGCCAACATCGTGAAACCCTGTCTCTACTAAAATACAAAAAATTAGCCGGGCTTGGTGGTACGTGCTTGTAGTCCCAGCTACCGGGGAGCCTGAGGCAGAGGAATCACTTCAACCCGGGAGACAGAGGTTGCAGTGAGCCAAGATCGCACCACTGCACTCCAGCCTGGTGACAGAGCAAGACTCCGTCTCAAAAAAAAAAAAAAAATTGTGTGGAAGAGGCTGGTTTGTAAACCTAAAATAGTCAATGAATATTTACAGTTTGCCAGCCACAGATTGAGAAAAATAATGATTCTTTCAAAAGAAAGTGCCAATGTACTCCAGCCTAGGATGACAAAGTGAGACCCTGTCTAAAAAAAAAAAAAAAAATGTGGATTGACATTGCAACTTAAATGGATAAATTGTTCTATTTTCCTTGTTGATGCAAACTGAACTCTGCTAACTTTCATGAAGATAAGTTTATTTGAGAGTTGCTAAATATTTACTTTCATGATTCACTTACAAAGGGGTTTTGTAAAGGGACAATTACTTACAGTGTATTAGTCACCACCCCACTGACTTCAAGGCGTGTTAACACATCTTTGTAATGCTGTTACTGGTAATTTGACAACTCACTGTGGTTTCAGCCGCTTTCCCATTCAGAGCTATGGAAATTGGAGGGGCTTTTCAGAGGACAGACGCTAAAACTGTGAATGGTGTGTGTGTATGTCTGAATTATATATAAATTTTCCAGATAATCTCCTGCCAAAATGAATAATTATGAGAACACGCTTTCTCATTTCCTAAGCATATTTTGAATGCCTGAGTTTTTGTAAAATTAAATGTCTTGCTAGTCTTTTGTTTTTAAAAAGAAAAGTAATATTGTCCATTTTTTCTTACAGAAACCCGTAATTGTATTTAGTTTTAGAAGTTATATGATTTTACAAATGAAGTACAAAAAAACTTCAGACCATTAAAAATTCTGTGATGAAATTCAGACTTTTGGGGGTCCTCTAAGAAATTGAACATGAGAGTAACACACAAAGTCATAGCTCATTACAAATATCAAAACTATATTTTGCAGCCAGTCATGGTGGCTCATGCCTGTAATTCTGGCACTTTGGGAGGCCAAGACAGAAGGATTGCTTGAACCCAGGAGTGTGACCCCAACCTGGGCAATATAGTGAGACCCTATCTCCAAAAAAAAAACAAAAAAAAAATTGGGACAGAGTCTCACTCTGTCACCTAGACTGGAATGCAGTGGCACAATCTTGGCTCTCTGCAACTTCCACCTCTGGGTTCAAGTGATTCTCCTGCCTCAGCTTCCTGAGTAGCTGGGATTAGAGGCATGCACTACCATGCCCGGCTAATTTTTGTATTTTTTGGTAGAAACGGGTTTCTCTATGTTGGCCAGGCTGGTCTCGAACTCCTGACCTCAGGTGATCCACCTCAGCGTCTCAAGGTGCTGAGATTACAGGCATAAGCCACCACACCTGGCCAAAAAAGGTTTTTAAGATAAGCTGGGCATCATGGTGCAGGCCTGTAGTCCAGCTACTAGGAGGCTGAAGGGGGAGGATCACTTAATCCCAGGAGTTGAGGTCTGCAGTGAGCTGTGCTCACAAGCACTGCATTCTAGCCTGGGTGACAGAGCATGACCTGTTCTCAAAAAACAAGAACCAAAAAAAAAAAAAAAAAAACCCACAAAAGTATATTGTTACAAATGTTTGTCATGCATAAAATCTCATCTGTTTAACTTAAACAATTTTTTTTTTTTTTTTTGAGATGGAGTCTCGCTCTGTTCCCAGGCTGGAGTGCAGTGGCGTGATCTCAGCTCACCGCACGTCCACCTCCCCCGGTTCATGCCATTCCCCTGCCTCAGCCTCCCGAGTAACTGGGAACTGCAGGTGCCCACCACCACGCCTGGCTAATTTTTTGTATTTTTAGTAGAGATGGGGTTTCACCATGTTAGCCAGGATGATCTTGGTCTCTTGACCTGGTGATCTGCCCACCTCAGCCTCCCAAAGTGCTGGGATTACAGACATGAGCAACCGCGCCCAGCCAACTTTCAACAATTTGTTCTCTATTAAGACTTCAATAACTGACTTTGATGAGTTGCTCTTATCTAATAAGTGAACTCAATGAATAAGCATGATTAAGATCAGGCTCACAATTAACCTTATATAAAATAAAATGGCCTTTCTGTTTATATATTTTCAAGGAAACATTTTGAGGTCTTTTTAAAAATACTCAAACAAATAACATTTGTATCGGTTTTTCCATTTAAAGTTAAGTACATCACATTTTTACTTAGTCATGGTTTTAGAAGATGAAAAGTTCACCTCCGTTTTAAGTCAGTCATGAAGCCATAAAATGAATATATTTCATGATGTAATCAATAATGAATTCCATAGTTTGTATAATTATCTACTTCCTGCAAAATCCCATTTTTGGTAACAATACTAATTTGAAACACTACAGTAATCTTGGAAAGATTTCAAGAACTATGACCAAAGTGCTTATCACGGGCAGTGATTTCTTCTCTAATAACTTTTTTGTGTGGTTACAAGTATATTGAAAGCTCAATATTTTGAACTAGTGGGTATTTTCATGGATGTTGTAAAGGACATATTAATAAGTCCCTTTGAAAAAGACTTTGTTCCACATTCTGTATCCATCTGAGGATCATGAAAATATACGTGTAGTCTGAACCCTTTTTACCACCCACCTGTTTGCCTGTGGGCTTAGCCTCTGTCTATAAAGTTCATATTGGACTTTTCAAAGAGTTGTCTGCTGCTTTAATGACATTCTGTACTACTGAATAATAGAGATAGTCTGATGTGGATATCTTCGATAATACTTGCTGAGGGTGATAAAGTAAAGTTAGCTGTAGAACGAGGAAGTTCAGATTCTCTGAAACTGTTCCACAGGTTTCTGTAATCTTTCTGTGATTCAGTTTCCTGGTCACTTAACTTTATGGATTAATTTATAGATTATGTCTTTCACCTCTGGCAGCCCTGAGACAGGTGTTGAGGACTATGGTACTAGCACTGGTGGAAAAACAGAGTTTTGCCGTCAGATGTATCTGGAACTGGGTTTCACATCCATTAGGTGACCTTGTTAACATTCCTAACTTTCTGTGTGCTGGCCTATAAAATACAAGTGATAATAAACACACACATTATTATAGAGACTAAATGAGATAACAAGGTAATGAATGAACCCAGTAGATGGCCTTTGGCAGATGGCCAATAAATGAAGACTTATGTCCTTCTGTCTGTTTTTCTCTGTCTCTTCTCTCCCTGCCACACCCGCCACCATCCTAAAATGAAGAATACAGGAGACGTAGGTGTGTGTCATCGCCACCTCAGACTCCTTTAATGCTAATACTTTTTTTTGTTTTTATCTCATGGGATTTGTGGCAGAGCCAATTTATATCTAATGCTGCATGAGTTATTCTAAGTGGATTGTCTTAACTCGGGAACTTTGAGGAGCTTCATGGAAATTGCTATCGTTAAGTTATGCTCAGCCAGCTGCTCCTGGCTTCTGGTGTAAGCAAATGCAAAAGAGGCTTCTACTACTCAAATAGAGAGACGCCTTCTACAGGGGAGAAAACAGACACACGCATGTATGGTTGCTTCACGCTGTTGAGTTGCAATGTGTTTTCTGTCTCTCAGCCTGGAAGAGAGCATTCATGGCAGTGTGAAGAAATAGCCCAGAAGCTTTTGCTTTAATTAGATCTTTCTACCTAAAGCAGAGGAACAGATTCCTCGTGATGGTAAAGGAAGAGGGTTTTTGTAAATCTGGGGATAAGACCAGCAGCAGTAACTGATCATAATTAAGAATCAGTGATTCCAGTAGAAAACTATGTTCTGAATTTTTTAAAAAATCACCTCCACAGCCACAAAAAAAGGAATGAGATCATGTCCTCTGCAGGGACGTGGATGGAGCTGGAGGCCATTATCCTTAACAAACTAATGCATGAACAGAAAACCAAAAACCGCATGTTCTCACTCATAAGTGGGAGGTAAATGATGAGAACACATGAGCACATAAAAGGGAACAACACACACTGGGACCTGGTGGAGGGTGGAGGGTGGAGGGTGGAGGGTGGAGGGTAGAGGGTGGGAGAAGGGAGAGGATCAGGCAAAATAAACAATGGGTAGTAGGCTTAATACCTGGGTGATGAAATAATCTGTACAACAAACCCCCAAGACACACGTTTACCTATTTAACAAACCTGCACATGTACCTCTGAGCTTAAAAAAAACTTAAACTAAAATCACCTCCGTGTTTTATTATCTCTAAAACACTGATAATGTCAGTCCTTACAGCTTGCTCTCTCTCTCTCTCTCTCTCTCTCTCTCTCTGTCTTACACACACACACATACGCTCATTTATCTGGCACTAACTAAACCCCATAGTGTCATAACAAGCAAAAACACGCCTCTTGGATGCTGAATTATCAACTTCAACATCCACATCCCCATTTTACACATATAGAAACAAAACCATAGGATAAATGATTTGCTTGCAGTGATATATTGGAGGCAGAAGCATAGCTGAGGTATTCTACCAGATTTGAAAGCAGTTTTCCCTATACAAATGGGTCCTACCCAGGCCTACTGCACCAGAATTCTCAGGAGAAAATCCGTAAATCTAACTATTGCAAGTGCCTCAGGTGACTCATGCCAGTTACATTCAGGAGTTCCAGACTGCACTGCTCTGCTGCAGATTTCAACAAAGGTAGACCTAGTAACAATCATCAAACTATTCAACAAGCTCCATGTCCTAGGATCTATGTAATAGCTGAGTCAAAAAGTCCTTGAGACCAGAGACCCAGGATTTTAAGTCCATGTCTCTTAGCCCAACTCCCTTCAGGTACAGGCAATGCAACATTCATGGCTCGTAATTCCCATCATCCAGGCCAGTCATCATACATGGGAATGTTTCTACTCATTCCTATTAAGCAACCTCTCGCTCCTATTGCATTTTCTGTGAGTACTTACAGACTAGTATGGAGCAATGGAAAGTTGAAGGAACTAATTCAGAAAGTCCCTAATTCTAACCATAAAGCTTGGAAGAGCAGCCCTACCTGTGCAGAAATGTGAGAGATAATAACCCAGCCAACTTGTATCAATTTATTTATTTTCTTGCCCAGCTCTCTATCCTGGGTCTGTATCCTGGGTACACATAGTGTACTTTATTTAAATTACCATTCTTCACTGATGACCAAATAAATTAATGCCGTACCACTGCTCCAAATTGTATCATAAGCCAAGACGTAGTTAACTGCAAGACTGAAAGATAGCTTTTAGGATTGTGGTGAAATAGGCAGGCCCTTCTTCACATCAACTCATATGACTGTTACTCACCATCAGACCTGCTCCTATAATTCCTGGGAACCACCACTCAAAGCAAGAGATGGGGTTTTGAGAAGATCGGTCTTCCTCAATTAAGCTGACAATTAGAGGTATCGCATTGAGAACTACTCCTAACAGCAGTAGAACCAGCAGGCTGAATCCATTGCAGGATGTCCATCCCTCGCAGCAGGTCATGGTCACCCTGGCTCAGTTAGAAACGTTGTCAAGGTGGCTATGCTTGCATGGTACTGTGTTGCCTTTTATCCCAATATTCTGGTTAAAATTTAACGCTAATAAAAAATGAATAGTGGAAAGTAGTTCAGAGTCCAATAGGGTAGGACATTATGACGACTATGATGGGAAATGAGAAAATAATTCTATATCATGATGGGGTGAAGGAAGGAAAGCAGAAAAAAAAATCTATGAGATAAATTTATGCAAGAAGATAGGCTTACGATAAGCTCCTTTAATATACTCCTTTATTAGTATGGCTTCTAAAAAGTAAAAACAGAAATATCCATTAAACTATATTTTCCTGTCCTATTGATATTATTACCAGCTATGGAAGTTTCTTTCTTTGAAATTATTCAACAAGAAAATGAACACATATGAGATGCGGGGAAAAGTATTTTTTCTGCGGCAAATATTAGAGTTTATTTCAAGCTGTATGCTCATATACACAAAATAAAATGTTTATGTCATATTATTTCAGTGTTGCAGACTAATCCATCTGGAGATAGCCCACCTAAGACATGTGAGAGTTTTGGCTAATGCTACCAGACTGAAAGATAGCAATAGGAGAGAGATTGGATGAGGAGGTTATCGTATTTTATTTAAGCCCTTGAACACTTACTTGGCCATGTACAGTACTACATCTCCAGACTGTGGTTCCACATTGCCTCTCTACAAGCTTGTGAGCTCCTTGAGAAAAGACTATCAGTTGGGATAGGCTTTAAAATACAAAATTTCTGGCCAGCTGCAGTGGCTCACACCTGTAATCCCAGCACTTTGGGAAGCCAAGACAAGAGGATCACCTGAGGTCAAGAGTTGGAGACCAGTCTGGCCAACATGGCAAAACCCCCATCTGTACTAAAAAAACAAAAAGCAGCCAAGCGTGGTGGCACACACCTGTGATCCCAGCTACTTGGGAGGCTGAGGCAGGAGAATCACTTGAACCTGGGAGGTGGAGGTTGCCACGAGCCAAGATTGCATCACTGCACTCCAGCCTGGGCGACAGAGTGAGACTCCGTCTCAAAAAACAAAAACAATACAAAAGTTCTTGCGTATGTTAACTGACCATCCTGATCTCAATGGGGTCCGTGCTCATGGTAGTTCCTGAAAGACCTAGACTGGCAGAGGCAGCATCTTGATCCAGGCTTCCACAGTTGCAGAGGCAGGGTACAAAAATGTGGTGAGCCGCATACTGAATCTATATGTTTCTGCCCAGAAGCGACCCACATCACTTCTGTTCACATTTCATTGGCCAAAAAAGTCACTCAGTTATGCATGAGTTCAGGTCGGTGGAAATATAAGCCAATATGTCTAGGAGAAAAGATTGGGATGTTAGGCAGTTCCAATCTCTACAATGCCTTCCTTCTGCTTCTGTGTAATCCCCCGCTCAGCCCAGAGCATAGATTCAGTGAGTGCTGTTGGGAATGGTGAGATAGTGCATGCAGTGGTGCAGTCAGTGTGGGCCAAAAGCTCAGGCGTAGTAGGCTTAGGGAGCAGGGCTCCACTCTGCAGCAGCAGGAGGGCACACAGCCTGGTACAAGGGGCATGCCTGGTAATGGACACCAAAACATTAACTCCAGACTGGGGACCCAGTTACTGGACCCCAGTGAAATGTGAAATCCTTTGTGTGAAAGGATTTGTATGAAAGGATTAAGAATAACCCACCTACGGGCCGGGCATGGTGGCTCACCCCTGTAATCCCAGCATTTTCGGAGGGTGAGGTGGGAGGATCACTTGAGCCCAGGAGTTCGAGACCAGCCTGGCCAATGTGGCGAAACCCTATCTCTACTAAAAATACAAAAAAATTAGCTGGGTGTGGTGGCAGGTGCCTGTAATCCCAGCTACTCGGAAGACTGAGGCAGGAGAATCACTTGAACCCAGAAGGCAGTGGTTGCAGTGAGCCGAGATTGCACCACTGAACTCCAGCCTGGGCAACAGAGTGAGGCTCCATCTCAAAACAAAAACAAAAAACGCCCATCTATCAACACAACACACAAAACGCCGAGAATAACTGAAAGAATACAACTGGGTTAGAGACAGAAGACACTTCCATTGTATGGTTTATGTAGTTCTGCATGGTTGAGATTTCTACTATAATTATATAATATTCTAAAAATACATATTTTTTATTTTACAAAAATTAACAACTAAAATGTACCCTCCCACTAAGTCATAAATTATATCATTCTATAACTATATATTATAATATATATTTATTACTGACCTGAATGAGTGGGAGGTGGTAGTTACTTATCTTAGAATGTGAGTTGTGCCATTTCAAATCTTTTTGCTGTCTTCATAAGCTGTTGAATTGAAGAACTGTTTCGGTAATCATTTTATGTGTAGGAAACTGGATCGGTTGGACTCCACCTGACTATGAGAATCAAGTGTCTGACGTCCAGAGTCTTTGCCATTTGACCAAAACTGAGTAAGTTGCATGCTTTTGCTAGTGGGCATAACATTTCCACTTGGGTTTGGAACTCCTTACATTTGTGGCTAAAAGGAAGTATCTGAAGAATTCTGTAAAAATGTAGAAATTTAATCTGTATGTTATGAAGGGGAAGATATTTCAGTATAGAGTTGAAAAGAGAATTAGCTTATAACTGAAGAGGAGAATGATGACAACATTTTAGTATCTGCCCAACACACATACCTGTTTCTGTAAAAACAACCCCCCCATAACTTACATGCATAGATCCTCTGTATCCTATTTGTGTTATGGAACTTTGCTCCCCTGGCCATTGTTGATTGGAATACCAGTAGATACAGAAGCTAGGCTCTTCCAATCTCTCTAGGAGCTTGGAATTGAAACCAAGAGAAACAACTTATTCCCTAGTATGAATGAAATGGGAGGGCACGTGTATCCGTTAAAATTAAGCTTAGTTGCACACAAAAAGAAATTTAAAATAAAAATGACTTAAGATAGAAAGTTATTCTCAAAGTCGAGAGGTAAGTACTTGATGTGGTCTGGCCGTGTCCCCACCCAAATTTCATCTTGAATTATAGTTCCCATGATCCCCACGTGTCATGGGAGGGACCTGGTGGGAGGTAATTGAATGGGGGTGGTTACCCTTATGCTGCTGTTCTCCTAGCAGTGAGTGAGTTCTCACGAGATCTGATGGTTTTTTAAGGGGCTTTCCCCCTTTTGCTCATTCTTCTCCTTGCTGCTGCCATGTGAAGAAGAACGTGTTTGCCTCCTCTTCCACCATGATTGAAAGGCCTCCATGATTCCCTGAGGCGTCCCCAGTCATGCTGAACTGTGAGTCGATTAAACCTCTTTCCTTTATAAATTACTCAGTCTCAGGTATGTCTTTATTAGCAGCATGGGAACTGACTAACACAGCACTCAGGAGTTGGAGTGGGAGCTCCACTTCCTCAGAGATCCTTTCAGTGCATGGATCCACCATCTCTTTGATCTCTTTATTCTCATGTTCAAAATGTGGCAACCATAGCTCCAACCATTATATCTGCTCTCCACTCAGAAGGATAAAGGAAGAGAAGAAGAAAAAATAATAAAACAAGAAGGATAAAGGAGGAGAAAGGCTCACCCTCTTTCTTTTAAAGAGCCATCTCATTGCCTAGAATACAGCCATGTAGCAGCATGGGAAAGGTAGTATTTATTCCAAGTGATCTGTGCCCAGTTAAAACTGGGGAGAAGAACGAGACCAAGAGTACTGGGTAGGCAACTAGAAATCGCTACCATATTTAAATTCATGAGCTTAACCAGGCATAGTGGCTCACACCTATAATCCCAGCTACTTGGGAGGCTGAGACGGGAGGAGTGTTTGAGGCCAGGAGTTCAAGACCAGCCGGGGCAACATAGCAAGACCCCATCCCTACAAAAAATAAAAATAACAGCCAGGCATGGTGGCTTATGCCTGTAATGGCAGTGATTTGGGAGGCTGAGGTGAGAGAATCATCTGAGGTGAGGAATTTGAGACCAGCCTGGAGACCCCATGTCCACAAAAATATTTAGCCAGGTATAGTGGCATACACCTAAATTCCCACCTACTCAAGAGGCTGAGGTGGAAGGATCGCTTGAACCCAGAAGTTGGAGGTTGTAGTGAGCTATGATCATGCTACTGCACTCCAGCCTGAACAACAGACTGAGACTCTTCTCTAGACAAAGAAAAATAAATAAAAATAATACAAATACAATACAATACAATGAATTCATGAACTCTGCTGGGAGAGACAGAGAAACCAATCTTTTCAAAAAGAAGGAGGAGGAGAGACAGAGAGGAGAAATATGCAGGAAGAGCAGGTAGGAGACCACACAGCTTTAGAGGGTGGCAGAGAAAGGGTGACTGTTTGGTTTCTCAATGGTATTTTATATCTTAATTTCTACCCTATGAAAACTGACTGCAGACTCTGTTTTCTGTGAGATGCTCCTATATTATTATCCTTTTATATTGTTTTTAGTGGATTTCTATTTTTCTGCAACCAAAAGAGCTAAAACTAAAAGTTGCTAAAACCAAGGACAGAAAAGTATGCAAATAACTTGTCACATGGCATGCCAAAACAGCAAAAGCCTTGGAGTTCAGAAAAAGGAAGATTCCATCAAGAAGGGCTGGGAGCCAGGATTCCGCACAGCTTTGGAGCGTGGCTAGAATTTGGTATAAAAAGATAGAAGGACGTTTCACAGACTAGTGTCAGTTAGTTGCAGAAAACTGAAATTCTAGCTATGGAATTGGGAAGAGATGTCGTGGGAGAATCATGTGTATAAAATCGCTGGAAGGGCTAGAAAAGCAGGCTCTAGACTTATCTGCAGAAATGCTTCTGGGTCATGACTGCTGAACTGGCCCTGGAAGATGCCACTGTCTCTGCAGTAGCCAAAAAGGCAGGGAAGGCTGGGCACGGTGGCTCACACCTGTAATCCCAGCATTTTTGGGAGGCTGAGGTGGGTGAATCACGAGGTTAGGAGTTTGAGACCAGCCTGGCCAACATGGTGAAACCCCATCTCTACTAAAAAAACAACAGTTGACCAGGCGTGGTGGCAGACACCTGTAATCTCAGCTACTTGGGAGGCTGAGGCAGGAGAATCACTTGAACC